ATTCATAAGGCTATAGGAGATAAAGTCTGGACCCCCTTTCGGGTGGGTAGGAGAGTGGTCCCTATTTCTCACCTCTTATTCGCAGATGACATTTTACTTTTTGGTGAAACCATCCTGGAAAATATCCTTTCTCTAAAAGATATCTTGAGCCAATTTTGTGATGTGTCTGGGCAAACGGTGAGTACAAACAAGAGTAAGGTCCTTTTTTCCAGAAATACTTCCCCTGATGACAGAATTTTTTTTGCAACTCTTTGGGTTTTAAGGAAACGGATGACCTGAGTCCCTATCTTGGCTTCCCACTTTCAAGTTCCAGACTTTCCAAAGCTAGAGTCTTGGAAGTCCTCTCAGTTCATTTCTCAGAAAACTAGAGTCTTGGAAGTCCTCTCTGTTAACTAGGGCTGGTAGGTTATGTCTTATCTCTTCCACTCTTAATACCCTCCCTAACTATTACAGGTAATACCTTTTACTGCCCGAATCCCTCTTAAATCATTTGAACAGTGCCATGGCTAAGTTTCTTTGGGGTAAAGGTGACAATCAGAGAGGTATTCATTTAGTGGGTTGGGATAAGGTAGCAAAACCTAAGGATAAAGTGGGGCTGGGTTTAAGATGTGCTAAGGCTCTTAACAAAGTGCACATGCTCAAGCTTTGGTGGAGAATGCTGAATCAGGAGGACAACCTAGCTGTTAGAGTTCTCAAAGATAAATATTCTAAACCCAACAACTTCTTTAGGTCCTTCTCTTATGGTTCTCATCTTTGGAAGAGTATGGATAAGGTTTGGGATCTTTTTAAGAGTCATATCTAGTGGGGAGTTGGGGATAGGGTAGATATTTTTCTTTGGAATGATAAATGGAGTGGGAGTAACACCATTAGAAGTATGATTCAAGGTCCTTTACAGAGAGGAGAGGGGGATATTATGGTTGATCAATGTATTGTTGATTCAAAGTGGGAGTTCTCCAATCTGTCCTTTGTTCTTTCTGATAATATTCTCAATCAGTGTTTGAGTATCCCTATCCCGATTCTTGAGCATGATTGTCATGATTTTATCTTCTCAGATTTTACTTCAAAAGCCAAATTTGATTTTAAAAAGGCAATGTCTTTATTTGAGGATGAATATGATTTGAATAGGGACTTAGGCTGGATCTGGAAAATTAACACAGCTCCAAAAATAAAATTTTTATCTGGTTATGCTTTCTGGACAGATTACCTCATAAGGTTACTCTTGCAAGAAAAAACATCATTCCCTCTGATAAGTGTGCTTGCTGTCCAAACTCCCTTGAGACCTCAATTCATATTCTCAGGGAATGCACACAAGAGAAAGAAATCTGGGATCTATGTTTAGTTTCCTCTGATTTTTTCTCTCCTAATATCCAAGATTGGCTGGTCACCAACCTCACCCTCAAACCCCCTTCTACCTCAAACAACATTGCTCATCCCTGGCAAACCCTCTTCTCCTTTGTTATTTGGAAACTTTGGCTTAGGAGAAATGAGGGAACTTTATGTCAATCTCAACAACCCATTGAAAAATCCTACTTGGAAGCTCAAGCTTGGGAATTTCACACCTCCAAGCAGAATTCGTTGGGTCCCTCCTCTCTCTACTATACCGCTCCTCTTACTCATTGGATACCTCCCCCTGACCTATGGCTAAAATTGAACTGTGATACTTCCTTCACAAATGCTTCTCAAGTTGCAGCCATTGTTGGTATTTTTCGAGATGAACAGGGAAATTGGATTCTTGGTTTTCAACAAAAATGTCGACTAAGATCAGCTTTTGATAGGTGAACTCAGAGCTATCCAACTGGGTCTGCAAATTGTAGCAGAGAAGGGTTGGACTAACATCGTGATAAGCTTAGGTTCAAGCCAAGTTGTGGACCTTATTTCCCGCAATGAAAGTGTGAAAGATGCTAACCTTTTGATCATACAAAAATGCAGGGACCTTATGGAGAGTATCCAGGGAATTAAGCTATGCTATGAAGGGAGATCTGCTAATAGGCTGCCGATATTTTAGCTAAAAATTGTAGGAAAAGTGTCTCACAAGACTTTAATGTTCTTCATTTAAATCACCCTCCTGGGTACATTGCTGATGTAATTTTGGAGGATAAACCTCCCTAACCTTACTTTTTTAGTCTATTAGATTTTCCTAGCTTGCATCAAAAATTATAAAACCTCATAATAATAATAATAAATAGTCGGCTTATGCCTCATGTTTGGACTTTTGGAGGGTTATTTATTGACATTTTTATAGATATGTTCGAGAATATACTTGTATACATCTAGATATTTAATACACTTGAGAGTTTTTTTTTTTTTTTTTTTTTTTTATACACTTGAGAGTAATTGAGTACAACTTGATTTTCAAAACAATATAAGACACAATCTAGGAAATAATGTCAGATGTGTTAGTTTTGAGTATGTATCATAAACTCAAAAACATTTTGTTGACCTTTTCGTTCATATTAGTGTGTGCGCCACACAAACCCATAGCTTAATTACAGTCAAAATATGGTTGTCATTGAATTACATAAGTCAAAAGTTTGAATATTATTTGTATCATCAATTCCATGCTAAAATTTTGAATCAAATCATATCATATCATTTAATTAAACTTGTTAACATTCGAAATTGAAGTCAAATGTTTCCCAAACATTTTTCTCAGGTTACCAGTATAGTAGAATTCCCAGGAAATTTCTACATTTTAAAAATATGTTCATTTTCCTTTTTTTAACCGAGTCATGGCTACGTACATGTTAATCATTTGAGTTTCACATTTTAATAAAAATAAATAAATTTAGAAAATTGTGTTGAGCAGTTATTTTGAACATATGTACCAACATTGGAAATTGCGTCACACCGAAAATTTATCATAAACAACAAAAATGTACAAAAATAAAATAAAATCAAAGATTGTACTATGAGATTTATTAAGGACAATTTTTTCTGCATGTGATCACATGATTTCATGGGGGCGGTTCCATCACTCCCGGAGTACTTGTATTTGTATGATGTGGTTCCATATCATTGAAACTTAGGATATTTTACATTATGTATAATGTGCTTGTATTAATTTGTTGATGTTAATTAACTATATACTTTGTATGTTTTGTTGGTATATAAGGTATGAATAGAATTTTTTATTTTTATTCTCTATGTTCAGAAAATAAAATCATGTATAATTTGAATTTATAACTTGTCAACATGATCGATTTTGAGGTTTCTCGAAAGTTTTTAGTTTTTTAATTTGATTGAATCATTGGTAATTTTGTTTTGATGTTGCCATGTTATGTGGGATAGTTCTTCTTTGACTTAGGACTAAAAGATTACAAAGAATTGTAGAGAAAGATAGTGAGAAAATTAACGTGTTTTTTTAAAATTAATTATTTACTTGCATTTAAAAATAAAAAATAAAAAAAATAAAAAAAGTCAATCAACACTAATTCTTATTTACATGAAGTGGGGATATAATCAATTGATTAAGGGATATGTAATTTTTGAAAAGATTGAAATTTTGCCTATTGACTACAGAAAGTCTTTTAGACTAATGAAAAATTGATTTTAATATTATTGTTATTCACCTATTGTAAGTGGAGTTAAAATGAGTCGAATGTAATTAACAATATATCACATGTTCTTTCAAAAAAAAAAAAAAAAAAAGACAAAAAACAATACATCACATAATTATATTTTATTTATATATTTTGTATTAATTAGAACTATTTGTCAATACTTTCAACATTTGACCATAAAATTAAAGTCAAAACATGTCGTTTTGGGATGGAATGACTAATGAGTAATAGTGATTGTTTGCAAGTAGGACTTGTTCACTCACAGGCCTTGCCTCGCTTCCTAGTTTTTCTAGAAATTTTATGAGTGAAAGACTTTTGATTGATTATCTAAAATAACTTATGTGCTATATATAAATCACTATAATTTTCGTATAAAAAAATAAAAAATAAGCCTAGGAATGAATGCACCTTTTTGCTATCTTGTTTTCCCCACATAATCATCATAATAAATGTGTGCGCATTCATAAATATCATGTATAATGACAAAAATAATGTTACAAGATTTTGAATAATTGAACAATTAAAATCAACTCAACCACGTCAAGATTTACACATGTTAAAAAAAAATAAATTATTATATGTGGCTGGTCACACGGTGTGGCTAACCATTATAGGGATTATATTACTTCGTTAGTGTAATAGGAGTTACTTGGTCGATTGTGTTACTTTGTTATTTTATAAGTGGTCACACCGTGTGGCCAGCCACACACAAGACGAGCTGAAATTCTAGAACTTATGATATCTTCCACCTTTCAAGCAAAAGTTCAAAAAAAATTAAAAAATAAAGAAAATCTAATTGTTGGTTGTAATTTCAACTTTTATTGATGTTATAATACCCAATATGTCAAAGTTACCTAAACACTTTTAATTTTATAATATCGTTGTTCGTTCAAGGTCATTTATTACTTAAAACTCTTGAGGTGTAGGGTTTATTCTGTTCACCTTATTTTCACTTATTTCAGGTCTAATAATATAAGTTCAGTTCAGAAAAAAAAAAGTTCTGATAAGGGTTGTTCAAGTTTAAATTACAATTAAAATAAGTTTTAATAAGGTCTAATAAGTTCAGATAAGTTCAGGTAAATTCAAATAGGGTCAGATAAGTAAAAATCAAGCAAATAAAACACACCATATCTTAAAACACTTTTACTTTTACATGTATTCTTTTAAAATTTATTCTTTTCAAAATCTATATAATATGAGTAGATGTTATACGTGTTTTTTAAAAGGTAAATTTAAATCTACAACAACTACGAGTTTCTTAACTTTTGTACAGTGAAGGGGGCAAATTACAAAAAAGAACAATTGTATTGATAGTAACTTGAGGAAGACTTTTTAGTTAAAGCCGTTAAGTCTAGAAGAAATTTAAGAAGTGGGCAAATACTAAGTGAGCTTTCTTTGACGAGTAACGTCCGCGTATGTAAATTTCCTAATCTTTGTCTTTTAATTAACTTCAACTTCCTTTCACCAAATATTTAACTTTTTAATCAAAATTAAATTTTAAAAAATTCCACGTCATCATAATACCCCACGACTCTTCCTACTCTTGGTCAAATTTCTCAACGCCTCCGTCTCCTCTTTTATTCTCCCTTCTCTATTAAAACCTTCCCACTCTCCCTTACACAATTCTCCTCTTCTAATTATTTTTGTCTATCTATCCTCCAGATTATCTATCTTTGTACATAATACGGGCTCAGACTCGGGCTCAAACTCGGACTCGGACTCAGACTCAGACTCGTCTCGGATTATTTGAAAACCCGAAGGGGAAGGAAAAAAAAAATGAAAAACATGGGGTTTCTTAAGGAGGAGAAATCAATAAGGGTGATTAGAGCAATAAAAACAGTGTTTTTCTTAATTACTTTGCTAATCTCTTTTTTGTTCTTCTCTGCTCCTGTTCTTCTTGCTGTTGCGGATACCATATTACCTTCTGCTTTGTTCTCTGCTTCGTCTCCTTTTCTTTCTCCTCAATCGTTGTCCTCCCACCTTGCCAATTATGATTTCAGATACTCTCTTGTTGATATTCCGTTGATCTCCATACTCCGTTCCCTCGTCATCATTTGTAAGTTTACTTGTTTTTTTCGTAAATTCTTGTATCAGACGGTCTAACTTGCCCGTATGGGCTTACACAACCAATAATGATTTTATTTTTATTTTAGGTTTTATTAGACAGAATAATTGCTGAATATAGTATGAAAATTAAACGGGTTTTATTAATTTGGTACAACTGTTTTAGGAATAGGGAATAACTTTATTTATTGCATTATTCGTGATTTTTCTAACGAGTGTTCATGGGTACTTGTTAAGCTAACTCGTTATGTTATTATGGTTCTACAAGATTTCTAAATTCAGTAAATTGTTAAGTACTTAATTCACCTGCCAAAACTTGAAATTTGATGGTCACCATTGATTAGATTAGGAACTTTATATCTTAACCTACCTTAAAGTGCGCTTACATATCAGAATTGACTAATTAAGGGCTTAATAAGTCCAGCAAACTAGTTGGCTTAATTGGTTTATTATTTTATATTTTTATTTTCTGACAGTAGTTGGCCCAATTGTTGTTAGGCGTTTTCATGTGTTTTCTGAATAAATTAATAAAGTTAATTAAAAATGCTCTACATTCTCATAATCCCATATGGAATAAATCTAATTAATCTTTATTTGCATTAATTTTTTTCTTAATACGTATGACAATTCACTAGTACATACCAATATACCTATATACGAGTACCATAAAAATAATGTGATAATTAGCGAGTTTAGACACCGTATGTAATGTGTATTTCATGTAACGATGAGTGACAAGTCTGATAATGTATTAAATTTTTCTGTTATGTGTTTATTTAAAGTTAATGTATTGAGAATAACTCGTTATTTATTGTGCTGTATAGGTGTGTATAGCTGTTGTGATGGGCCGAAGTTGTCACGCGGGCCCTATTTGTGGGTGGTAACAATATGTTCGGTACTTTCGTTGGTGTTTGTATCATTAAAAGCCCCGTTCGTGTTTGGTGGTGCAAATGGTGCCGAGAGAGGGTACACTAGAGTCACCGAGGTTGCATTATTCGTATGTTCTTACGTCTTGGCGGTTGGACACGTGTTTGTTGCTTATAGGACCAGTTGTCGAGAACGAAAAAAGCTTCTTGTTTACAGGATTGACATTGAAGCTGTAAGTTCCCTCCATCCCTAGCTCAATTTAGTTGCAAGTTAAAGTTAATTTCATTCAAGAAATCCCCTTACCCCCCCCCCCCTAAGTTGAGGACAAAAGTACAAAACTAAGTAACCCTGTGCTAAATAAGATAAATGACCAATGTCCCACGTTAGCAACCCAATGGAGTAGTTACTAAAACGACACATTTTTTATTTGTCGAATTAACAAAATAATTCGAGTACATAATTTAATAACAATGTTGCAAGATGAATTAATTTGGTTGGTACATAATGAAATTATTATTAGTATGGAATTTAATATTGATTACGCAAAATTGGCAACTAAAAAGTGTAAGTTATAGGTTTCTGTTTGCTAGGTGGCTTTGATGAGTTGGTAGAATATCATTAAAAAGATGCCAAGCTAATTAGCTATGCACTAATTAATTCCTAATAGCATATCTTAAAAAAGAAGATAAACCAATCAAGAGTGGGGTGCTGTACCACTAAAACAGTTGTAATGTCTCAAAGCTAGGAATTTATGATCTGGAACTTTAATTTTAAAAAAGTGGCATAGGAAAAACTCTATAGCTGTATGAATGGATTGAAAGATAATTTGACATTTTCAACTTTTAATTACTCGGTACCCATGTCTTACCGTGTACCCGTCTCTCATAATAATCTCAAGTAGTGATACTACTCGTTTTCGTATGAACACTTTATTTAGAAAATGAAAAGAGAAATAGAATAGATTCTATTCATTCTAATACTCGTATAAAATTTGAAATTATTCTAAATAGAAAATTGGGTTTAAATGAGAACAAAAGTTTGAAACATAAAAAAAGTGAAGATCAGATTCGATTAGAGGATGATCATTAATGAGTTATATGTCCTTATAATATATCTACCTAAGCCATGACGATTGAATTAGCCATATATATGAGTCTTAGCTCTTAAGAGATTCTTGTTGATGGATTATTGTATTCTATTAATTCGTACTTCGTATTATGAAATAACATGTTGTGACAAATATTAATTTATTGAAAACACCTAGATTTATATTTTCTTGCTGTGGCAAAGAATAATCAAATTTGGGAGCAACTTATAGTAAGCGTTGGGGGAAAGTCTTACCTTAAAATTGATTAGTGCTTTCGCACGAAATTGCTGTGAAATTTTCAACGTTACATTTTTATTCAGTCAAAACCTACCATCTTACCACTAATTTTATTACTCTAATAATGCTTTTAGTCCAAACAATATGCAAACACTATAGGATATTTTGTTTTGTTTTCTAATTTAAGATCTTTTTCATACTCTTGAATACATTCAAGAAATCATTTTCAAATCCAAACCTACCCTCCCTAAGAAATAAGATCCAAAGAGATGATCGATACTTTTAACATAGTAATTGTATCGATTGTCTCTATGTATGTATATAGGGACAATTTTTTCGTTAATAATTATGTCGTATTTAAGGGTTGAATAGAGTTTTTGACAATACACGAGGGTCTTAGGAGGGAAGTTTCCAATTGTAAGGACACCTCTTCCCAACAGAAAAAGCTTATTTTGATACGAAGTAATTTAAGTACTTATAGTAATTTAACGCTGTGTTAAATTTATTTTGTTGTTGCTATATGCTTTTCTTAACTCTAAAACACACACCTAATTATATTATTCTTGTATTGATATGAGGTCCCCGCTTAGAGATTTTTTGACAACCTCGCGTTGAGTACGAGTGAGGAGATCACATCACATGCATAAAAATTAAATTAGAAGTTATACGTAATCAAAGAAATACATCAACATGGTGAAGTACACATATATGCATGATTATCTAGAGTTGTGGAGTGATTAGAGCCACAATTTCATAATAAGATCACTTCAATTGTGAATCTTTGTGATCACTAATTTGTTATTGTTTTGATTATTTGTTGAATTATTGAATTAGGTGTATTCTTCATGCGTATTAGTTGCTTAATCAAGACATTTTTTTTTTTTAATATAATATATAGCTTTCTGTCCTATTCTTTTAATTACTATATAAAATGTAGCTTCTTAATATTATAAGTATAACGAACTCCATCCATCATCATACTTTGAACTTATCTTGAATAGGGTCGTGTATTGATGCCATTTATCAGATATTTGAAAACTTACCTTAGACTTATTTGGCTAATAATTCTCCCTCTATTTCAAGATAACAGTCAGACATTATTAATATCGTGACTTTATGTTCTAGGTGGGTGATTGGAGGGATAGGTCATGAACTCATAAACAATCAGATATGTGAAAAAATACCACTTACTTACATCATGATGTGTAACGGAATAAATAAATTTAGGGATGGGCGGTTAATTAGGTCCATATGTTCATAAATATCTACATCAAATTGGTATTATAGTAATGAAAAATAAATAAAGCAAGAAACCCTTTGGTCTACGGACTATGCAAAGGTAGGGACAACTTATCCATTGATGAAGACATATATATTGGACAATTGAGTTAGCTTTGTCTATGAATCCACTTGTATTACTAATTATGGGAAGAAAGAAATAAATGGTTTAATCAAGAAAATTATAAACCTAAAATGACGTACTTCTGATGTTAAAATAAGAGAAAAATTGAATGAGTTGTATAAAGAGACAATGAATAAAAGCCATTGTCTGTAAGGTTCTCTTTTAATCAGGTTTTGGAATCCTTTCTTAATCTGAATCATCAAAAATTGACATGCTTTTTTAATTTTATTGGTAGTATAATTGACATGTTGACAAGTCTTGACACAATTGCTACTTTAACCATGTTAATTAAGCATATTTTAGAACTTTCTAGGCAGTATATGGGTCCCGTATGTTGAAAATTTAACTTCAAGATTAAAGGGTGTAATTTATCATCTCCTTAAAAATTGTACATTTTTCTTTGTTGTAGTTAAATATCATTGTTTTGTAAGAGAGATATGATCCTTTTGTTCATACATCTTAATTTGACTTATAAAGAATCCTTTTAATCTTACAAAAATCTTATTTCCAACATTTATATGAATTCTGATTTATTTGTCAATCAAATTGTTGTATGTAGGTTAATTCAGCCTGTAAGAAAGGATTTCCAAGATATGAAAAGTTGTTACATGAGGAAAGAAAGAAGTGAAGCATGTACAAATTTAGAGCATTAGAGATGAACTTCGTACCCTTTCTCATAAAAAAAAAAAGGGGGATCTTCGTACATTATTTTAAAGGTAAGATTTCCATGTCCCAACAAATCATATTCTTCTGAAAAAAGGTTTGGTCACCTAATTGTCTGCTTATGAATCTAACAATTGCAACATGATTGTATGTACCTTCCTATTATTAACCCTCTATTTTTCATTTTCTATATGCAGGATAATTTTCAGTATCGTACACATAAAATAATGCATTTCAAGAAGTTCGTGAGAAACGTATCCATAACAACATAGGATTGACATACACATACATCCTTAGAGGCCTTTAACTTGTGTTTGGTAATGAGATTTACTATCGATCGCATCTCACTTCTCATCAGTTTAGTTATGATCTCCTATATTGTACAGTTTTTTGTTCTTTTTTATATTCTTTTTTTATCAAGGATCAAGACTATGTATATAATTAAGGAGAGAGGAACTATTAGTATGAATATCAGTAGGCAAGCCGAAGGCACCTACAATTTTCTTGGCCCTCCAAAGGGGTGCATCTAGCTAGTAAAGTAGCAAGTGTGATTTTTTCAAGTTGTTGCTGTATAAATTGTAATTATGTTTCTATCTTCGACACTTTTACACCATTTTATAGTTATACGTGTGATATACGATGTGTTTGGGTCCAATTTACTTTAATTGGGCCAGTCCACAAATGTTTTAATTATAAGCCCAAGGCTAGGTTTAACTCTCTAAATATAAGCCAAGTCAGTTAAGGGTCTGGTCAACATGGCAAGCCCATTTGACTTCAAGCCTTCATTCTCTTCTCTATATATTCATTCAATTCAAGTCTCAAGTAATTAATACTCTTGTATAGCCTTTTCTCTCTAAACACTTTATTGACTTCGGCATCGAAGGGGTCTTCCTCGGCATAACCCCCGCGGCCAATTTACGTGTGTTTGCTGTGCAGGAAACCCTCGTTCTAGTCATCAGTTGAGCCGAATCCAGTCTTCAGCTCACCAAAAAAGGTCCAGACGTAGGTCCTATTGTTTTCATTCGAAACACGATGAATTTCATTATAATTGTTGTTGTTGTTACTTAACCATTGTTTATAAAACACCCCAAGCTTATGCAAATGAAGATTAAGTACAAAAATCAATTGTTCTCGTTGGTACACCCTAGTAGTATAATAAAATAATTGATTGATTACAATTTGCTCAAAGATTTACAATGGATTTTGTTCCTTCGCAATTTTTCCATTACTATTTACTATATCGAATAATTTTTGACTAAAGATAACGACTCAAGATTGATGGATCTTTTGCATCAATCTTTTCATTACTACTCACTAAATTGAATAATTAACGTAAAAACACTATTAAATTTTAATAAAACAAAAATTCAAATCACACCAGGCCACGAAGTCGCTTGAGTTGCGATTTGTGAATACATGAAGTATTGAAATTCCAATTTGAGCTAATTTGGATTTTGGATCCACTTCTTTGGTAACGGGTTAATTATGGATCCAAATATAACCCAACAGCCCAATTACTTGCAAAAAAAGCCCATTAAGTATTTCATACTTCGTGCACCTCCTCAAACAAGACACTCTCATCTCTCTCAATTCCAAATCTGCAAAAATTCTCCCTCCATTTTTCTCTCTCATAAAACTCCCCAAATTAAATTTAAAGAGAAATTTAAAACTGGATTTCCCAGAATTTTCTGAAAAATGAGGTTCAATTTCGACATTGCAGAAACTAGCAATGAGAAAAATCAGCACAAATCGAAAACCCTAGCTCTTTCTTCATCTCCCTCTTCTTCAACTCCCAATGATAAGCAGATTCAATGGCTTCCACTTCAAGATCATCCCGTCTTCTCCTCCTCCGCCACCGTCGAAGGCGGCGGAATTTCGCCGGAGAAGCGGTTTGCGATGAATCTAATGGCTTGGGATGGAGCTTCTAGAATCTACTATTGGGATTCCGAGAATAATTGTCTTCATCGTTTGTCTGTTCGTTTGGGTGAACCTGAACCTACTTCTGTTGTCGCTGCTTATCCTTCTAAGGTTTGATTTCTCTTTTTATTTTGCCCTAATTGAATTGTGTTTATGTTTAATTTTGGAATTTTTGTTGTTGTTGTTTTGGAATTTTCAGGGGTTTAGGGTTTATGAAGTTCGGGGGTATAAGGTAGTGATATGAAGGGTTAATTGAGCTGAAATTTAGTCGACTAGAGGATTTTATTTTCTTGTACCTTTTGCAATTGTTCGATATTTCTTCTTAATTACTAGTTTTATAAGGCTGATTGAACTACTCAGGTTAGGAATTACGAGTTCCGAATTGCTTCTGCAAACAACGTTAGCTGCGCTTTAGCTAATTATTACTATAATGAAGTACATTAGGCGGGAAGATATGGTTTTTGGGTAATCTCGGGGGGGTGGGGGTGGGTGGGGGGGTGGTGGGGGAGGTAGGGCGGTGATGGAGAATTGGAGATTGCCAGGAAAAGGCAGTTTGTCGCTGCAAGTCTGCCGTTCAAGTTAAATTGCCTAGCTTGTAGTCTTCCCCTCGCCCTGGGGGTCATTGTCTCTCTCCATATGATGCTTCCCCGGATTCATTACTACCCTCACTGTGTTTTACTGGTGAGTGAAAATGTTGCCTTATAGTATGAATTCTGGTCACCTAAGTGGAAAAAATAACGGCCAATACCGGTCAAGAAAGAAGAATTTTATTCTGCATCATGATGAGAGAACTTAATGTCATAGAATCATCCTGGCGACTGGGAAAAATTGAATTGTAATTACTATTTGGAGGAGGAAAGTGTAACTTTCTATGGAGGTTTTATACTTTTATGTACATTTGAAGTCTATGTCCTCTTTTCTTTGTGAGATTGCTTAGTTCGATCGTAGAAATGTTTACTTACAGAAGTTGATGTTGCACTGGCTTAACACTTAAGGATTTACTGAAGTTGGAAATAAGAGTAATGTATCAAGTTTCTATGTTGAAGTAGAAGATAGTTTGAAAAGGTTTATATCATGCCCTGATATGTGGTATTCATTATTTGGATTAATTCAAGTCCATGATTGTCAAATCAATCTTTTTCATGTGTTGATCCTTCTTGCATTAGTCTTGTATTTTAAATAGTATTTTATGGTGCCTTTTGTCTCTTGGATAAGTATCTTTGACTCTACTTATTGATGATTCCATCCTTGTCATAGGTGCTGCAAACAGATATTGAACTCGACTTTCATGTTACCAAAATCTCAATTAATCGAAATGGATCAGCATTGCTTCTTGCTGGTTCAGATTGCATATGTGTCATGTACCTTTATGGATGTACTTCTGCAAAGGATGGTTCGAGTATTTGCAGGTATGCCTTATACGGACATGTTATTGCTAACAAAATATAGAGCGTATAGCGTGTGTTCTAACTGTGTATGCCCTGGAGCCTTTTATGCCATTAAAATTTCTTTCAGAATTTTCTTGAAGCTTTAGGATTTGATGTATCTCAGGCATATGGGATGCTTCATGTTTTTCTTCATTTATTCCCTAAATTGGGCAGGGCTGGCAAAATGGAACTTATCAATTTATTTTTGCTTTTTTTCTTATAGCCAGTCACTATGTTCTCTTACTGACATTAAGAGTTATTGTGGTTACAATGCAATCGTGATCATGCGATTTTGCAGAAGTTAAAATGTTTCAAAAGCCTTTATTTAACTAGAAATAAATTATCGACTTCATGTTGCTTTTAAAATCTAAAGTGCAAGGGAGATACCAGAAAGGTATTATGGGGTGAATGCGGGTTGTGGGTTCTTAGGAGGTTGAGTTGAGAGTTGGTGATGCTGAATGTTAATGCAAAAATGGAAGCACAAAGGAAAAAGAGTCTGAGATTAGCGAGATTTGAAAGATGGAGTTCTTTGCTCTTTCTTTCCTGAATGCAATGCCTGCAGTGCTTTCTAAAAACGGGTGGTGTTTAGTGCTTTTTCTGGAAATTTTGAATGGGCATCATTTAAAACTTCATGTAATAAACATTGAAAAGTTGCCTGAATATTTGTAGGAAATTAGTGGTGCTCTGCCTATAGTACAAATTTACATTTTTGCCTCTTGCTGGGCATTCACAATTCACAATCTAATTCTTGCATGCAGGACTGTCCCTGTTGGTTCTGAAGTTTATGATTATAGTAATAGTGCTATCCGCATATTGCAAGTGACATGGCATCCTTATAGTGATACACATATTGCAGTTCTTTCTTCTGATTCCGTTTTCAGGTAATAACCCCCTCCTCCCTTCCAAAAAAAGCTCTAATATTATGAGGGGATTTAGTAGTCATGTATAGAGTATATTATTGTGGTTGATGTTTTGGTGTGTTAATTGATTTGTACACTGCTCATTCCTGAACAATATGTATAGATTCAGTTTTTGGATGATAAAAAAAAGTGAGAATTTGCCTTTAATTTTTTTTTGAGCTACTGTCTTTTAAGAAACTTTGTTTAACACTCACCATTTGACGTTACTCATGACTTGTTGAATGTTAAAATTATGACCCCTAAAATATATTCTCTCTTTCTTCCCATTAGTCGCATATGGGCTTGATTTTGTGAGTCACAGCTGTCACACTTTAAGTTCAGCTCACGAAATCAAACTAATTGTGTTATAAATGTTTGAAGGAAAACACCTTAATGGTAATCGTTTTTTCGGATTGTGGTATATAATAAGGTATCACGTATCTCTTATTTTTCTCTATGTTTTTTTCTTGTTGATGCCACTATGACTAATTGCCTTGGTTTCCTTTTGTAGAATATTTGATTTGTCATCTGCTCTTGATCAGCCAGAGCAGGAGTACTATTTGCAGCCTTTAGAGCCAGGTAGATCCCGGCATGCATCATCAATTTGCCCTGTTGATTTCTCCTTTGGGCGTGATCACTTATGGGACAGATTTAGTGTGAGTCCTGCTGGATCTGATCAATAAGAGTATTGAAATTTTACCTTTTTTCAAAGTTTTAACAGTGAAAGACCGTTTATATATGTTATGCTCTTTGTTGGGTTCTAGATGAGGGCTCATAAGTCATAAAGTCTAGTATTTACCCAGACACTTGTCCTTCTACATGCTTACTGTTTTTTTGACGCAGCTTCACACGAAGTTTTCTTGTTTAATATGTCATGTACTTAGAAGTTTGACATAAAAAATGGCTATAGAGAGCTGATCTCTGAGTGACTGCTGTTTATTTTTAACTTGCTACTTATTTCTCCTCCTTGCCATTTTGCAGGTTTTTGTTTTGTTTAGTGACGGCTCTGTTTACATTCTCTGCCCAGTGGCCCCATTTGGAAGGTACAGTTTCTACACAGTAGTTATACTTGTAGTATATTCTGTGAAGTTATCTTCTAAAACTTATGTTAGATATGGACCAGTCTATTATTGATATTGTTGCTCAAACTGGATTTGCCTATCAAATGATATTGATTTATTATTGAAATGCGAAGAGTTTTCTTAATACTAGCTAGATTTGGCGAAATAAAATCGTACACTATTACTTCTAAAGTTCTTATTGATCTGTATCAGGTCTGAATCTGACCTGAAACCAGATAACCCAAACTGATATTGACCCACAATGTGAACTAATGTAGCTAAAAATCTATATGGCCAGTTTGATTGTATTTTGATCATAAGCTAATTGATTATAGAAGTGTCGATATCATCCACCAATTTTGAACAAATTTGAA